CTCTATATATATATGACTATTGCTGGTCACAGTCGCTTACTTTCTGAGTTCCTTGGCATCTGAGCATGGATATAAACTCATCAGATAGACAGCCTTCCTCTCCCACTAGAGCCTCCATACTCTGCCATCCCTGCCACTGTCCACTGTGCTGTCAGCACCCCCATGCATTGCCCCCTATCTGCCCTTCTGGTAAATCTAGTCAGCCAGAGGTCCCTGTTCCAGGAGGATATTTGAAATTTTTATTTATTTTTTCATGCTCCTTTATAAGCCTTTGACTTTGGTTCAGTTTGGGAGCATTTACGATCCTATCATACATAACATAAACATCAATCTGCTTTCTTATTTCTTTGTAAATTCAATTATTTCTAATTACATAAAGGCATCATTGATCAAGTAAGCATAAAAACCAATATAGGAGAATTTAATCTCTTAAATAAGCTTTAGGCTTCAAGGAATAGTTGAATGTTATCATATTTCGTACAAGAGGACATCGTTGTTGTTGATAACTGGGCCAAAGTAAAGGAAAATATCTAATCTTATTGTGCTATATATTGATTTGGTTCAGACTAGAAATATTTGGATAACTTTTTCATTCTCTCTCTCTCTCTCTCTCTCTCTCTCTCTCTCTCAGGCCTGGAAATGGACTTTGGGCCCTGTGGTCTTGTACGCATGTGAAAGAATAATTAGGTTCTGGCGATTTCGACAAGAGGTTGTCATTACCAAGGTATGAGTGGAGTGTAGCTTTATGTCTGAATAAAAGCCTGAGTGTAGATGAAATTTTTTTATTAGCCCAAGTTTTTAATTTGCCATTTTTATTGCAGAACTGTCTGTAATTTAGAGGCTCATCTTCTGTTCGAATAATTGCTTATATCTGGAGCATCTTTTAGTGAGACTAATTTTACTGGAGACAGGGATCAAGGCTCCATGCTGGTGTGCAGAATTCTGATAAAGGCTTATGGCATGGCACCAGAGTTAGCTATATTTCTCCTTATTATGGCTTCTCTCTGGTGAGGAAGAAGGGAACTAAGAATGCTTTACATTGGCCATAGTAACTATAAACAGCGCATAAAGACAGGTGTTTTCAAGCATGCCAGTATCATCCATGTACACGGTTCCAAGTGCACACACTCTTAACTGTGACTCTTGAACAGAGGACAAAGGTTCAGAGTAAGAAGGATGCTGAGGGCTGAAGATGGAGAGGAAGGACATATACAGTGCTCTGTCCTGGAGAGCACTTTAGTGGGACTTCTCTGTCTTGCCGTCCATCCTCATGGCTCTTTGATTTTTACTTCATGCTAGAGGAAGACAGGCACAGATAGACAAAGAAAGCATATGGAGGCTGAAGAGATGGCTCAGTGGTTAAGAGCACTGGCTGCTCTGGCTGAGGACCCGGGTTCGATTCCCAGCACCCACGTAGTGGCTAACAGCTATCTGTAACTCAAGTTCCAGGGAATCTGGCACCCTCTTCTGGCCTCTGCGGGCATTGTATGACACAGGTGCACTTACATACATGCAAGCAATACACACATTCACATAAAATAAATTTTAAAAATTTTAAGAAAGAAAGCAGATTAAGGAAGCAGAGAAAAGAACCAGATGCTCCACTCCCAAGTGTTAGCTGACAGAATTTTAACAGAACACAACATGCCTCCTCACTGCCGCCATAAAGGAGATACGCAGACACTCTTGTTTCTGCTTTAATCTGTATCTATGTTGCTGGGTTAAAGTTAAGCAGGAAAGGATGTCAGACCAGACTGGAAAATTTATACAAACCCAGACCTGTTACTAGGGAGACTGTTTAACAGCACCATCAGAGCCAGCACCAGAACGGAGAGCAGAAATCTGGAACTCAAGATTATAATGGAAAAGTACTAGTCCAGTATCTGGAAACTAGATTTGGTCTCTTATGCCTCTTGACACAAAAGAAGATATTGAAGCACGGGGAGATTTTTCAGAAAGCAAGATGGACATCTATGGATGGAAATTAGTTATTTCCCTGGGCAAGTAGCTAGCATAAGATCCTCATGGAGGTTTCACAGCCCTTTCACAGGGTTTCCCTACATCTAAAGCACAAAGCCAAAAATGAACAAATTAAACATTTCAGAGATGGCTGGAAGATTAATTTTTTTTCCCTTCAGCACAAAGAAGTCCCAGGGTTAATTCACAAGAGATTGAGAAAGTGTGCAGATACTTGCCAGTGGTAACAAATTACTACTGGATTTTTTTTTAAGTAATGATAATAACTTGATGACAATTTTAATAAGTCCAATAGAATAAAGTGATCTATGTATCCATACATGCTTATATTCAATTAGGAATGGTTAACTGGTCTACTGGAAACTTGACCATGAGCAGCATAGAGTCATGTACCTATAACGTTGTATCCAGGTACAGTTACAGAGGTCTAGCACAGAGCTCTGTACAATAAACTTCTTGTTCAAGTTGCAAGTCCAGGCATGAAATTGGTGGCAAATACCATCAGGAGCCAATGGTCAATGGTCTATGGAAATTATAACCCAAAAAAGACAATTTAGGGGCTGGAGAGCTAGCTCAGCAGTTAAGAGCACTGACTGCTCTTGCAGAGGACCCAGGGTCAAACCCCAGCATCCACATCCACATGATGGCTAACAATTGTCCATAACTCCACTTCCAGGGTATCCAACACCCTCTTCTGGCCTCCATGGGCATGGGCATTGCATGACATGAATATACTCGCATGCGTGCAGGTAATACACTCATACACATAACAAAAATAATAAAATATTTTAAAGACAATTTAAGTTGTGCACGTCTCTGATGGCTTGAAAACCATATTCTTATTAGTTCCTCTGAGTGAAAATACCAATAGTTATCTTCTTCTAATTCAGGTGATAAGTCACCCATCTGCAGTCCTGGAACTTCACATGAAGAAGCGTGACTTTAAGATGGCACCTGGACAGTACATCTTCATCCAGTGTCCATCCATCTCCCCACTGGAGTGGCACCCCTTCACCCTCACCTCTGCTCCTCAGGAGGACTTCTTCAGTGTGCACATCCGAGCATCAGGAGATTGGACAGAAGCATTGCTAAAGGTCTTTGTGGCCGAGGGACAGGTTCCCAAAGAGCTCTGCAGCCTACCAAGGTAGGATCCCAGGTCACTGTCACAGTCAAGTCACCATACTTCCAACAGGAAAATATTTAAGTGCATCTATATGTTGTTGAAATTGGTAATAGCTTTATGCCAAGTTGTAAGTTTGAGTTTATTTAAAAATTTTTGAGAGTCTACATAAAAAAGTAAAATTTAGGAGAAGCAAGTACATTTCTGTAAAAAATAAATAAATGTTCAACAAAAGTAGGCGATGATCCAGGAAAAAGGAACAGTTTGCTTTTCCAGCTCCAAAAGCAGCTCTTGTCTAATTATATATAGCCTGCCATGAGTCAGACAACTCTGTGAGCTCTTTTCTTTCGCAGACTGAGGTTTTCAGACTGTATTTGCAAAGGTTGATCTTCCAAAAAAGAATGTTCTATTCTGGTCATATTGGACTTAACCCACACTGTTCCTATACAACCGCATCTTAAGGGGACTCTATCTCTGCAGCCCTATTTTCAAAAGAGCGTAGTCTGGTGCTGAAGCTACAACTTCACCTTATTAACCAGGGACATGTTTTAGCCCACACGACTACCCTCTTCAGCAAAGCACAAGCACATGTCATAAGTATTGCTCTGTAAATGATCATGTCTTGGCTCCTTTAAGTGACAAATAGAAGGATAGTACTCCTGCAGAATCACCCCCAAAGCACGTGAACTCCATGTAGAGGGTTCCAGAAAAGCAGGAACATGAAACAGGATCCAAAAAAAAAAAAAAAAAACAATGTGAAAGTATTTGATATTTTCATGAAACATGAAAAAATTCCTATTTCTCCCATCTTCGTAAGGCAGTGGCCACTACTCGGGTATTTTCATTTAAAAAAATCACAGTGGGAACACACTGACATGGAATTTTCCACAGGTGGGATGCTGTTACTCCTCTTCTGCATCTCCAGCCTAGAACAATGTCAGATAAAATAACAGAAAATGATAAAATAACAGAAAAAATGAATGCCCAATATGAGTTCTTTAGCTACTTTAATTTGAAAAATATTTATTAGTGACAAACTAGGCACCATTGTGTAGGGTATGACATCAGATAAGCTTATTGTCTGTCTTTTCCCCTTCCCAGGAAGGCAGAACTATAAACATGTCACGCTGGCTTTGCCTAGTGGTAGGATGAACACAAGCCTTCATTTCAAAGATGGGAGGTAAAGAGTGACAAGCCAGCGATGAGCATCCTGTGCTCAGACCAGAACCCAAATTAGATGATACCACCTGACCAGACTGCAGAGACCTTCTCTCTTTGAGGATGGAAAATAAACAATGAAACAAAATTCCAGAGTTAAAGATAAAATGCAAATGCCTAAAATCAGGGATAAAAATGTATGCAGACCCCCAACACACACACACACACACACACACACACACACACACACACATACACACACATATAATGCCTACCTGCTTCCCTGGTCCTTGCCTGTCCCTTGTCATTATTAAGTTCCATATCCCCAGCCTATTTGCTATCCTGGCTTCTGCTCCATGTGTATCTAGTTAACTTGGTCTGTCAATTGTCCTTCCCTTCACTAACCAGCTGCCTTTTCAGCCTAGCCAGAAAGCACCAGGTGCTGCTTCTCAGTAGTCAGCATGTTTCCTGTCTAGGGCGGGTAGTGTCACTGGGAGATCTGATGTAACCTGGTCCCTGGGGCCTCCCTGTGCACACTTGCTACACCTACTGGTTCTGATGTAGCTATCCCAGGCTTTTTGTTTTTTATATAACTAATAGATAAAAGTATATGTGCTTATTGTGAACAATATGATTTCTGAAGTGTATATACACTATGTTTATATATGTACATTATGTTAAATCTAGTTAACAGTTGTGTTGCCTCACATAGTCAACACCTTTATAGTGAGAACACTCAACATCTACTGTCTTTGCATTTTCAAGATTATAATAAATTGTTACTAACTACAGTCACCTTGCTATGCAATATGGATCCCTTGAAAGTATCCTTTTGATCTGACTGTACTTATGTCTCCTTTCACCAACAGCTCCCACTCCCCTCCCCCATCCCAACCCTTCCCAGGTAACCATTATCCTATTCTTTAATTCTATGAGAATTGTGTTTTACATTCCACTTAGGTGTGAGATCACACTAAGACTTGATGTAGGATTAGCTATGATATTCCATAAAGTCCTTGGTATGACCTGGAAGTGCTCAGAAAGAGTTACTGCAATTATTTGCCAAGTATGAAAAATCCAGCACCCCAGAGATGCCAATGAACGTGTTGGGCAGATGAGCAGCAGATGACCCTAAGCTTAGAAAGGCCAGAAAAGAGGTTGATGGGGTGGAGGTTGGGGGTCCTGCTCACCAGAGTCTGCAAGGAACCAACAAAGACAGGTGATTTTCTTCTTTATATTATTAGAAACTTGGGATGCAAATCAAGGGACTGACAGCTGAATAAACACAAAAGCAAGAATTTGTCCAGTTGTTAAGGACATTACTTACCACACAGGTATTAAGGCCTAAATTCAGATCCCCAGTACCCAAATAAATGCCGGGTTGACATGGTAGGCCACCTGTAATCTCAGTTCTCAGGAGGTAGAGACAGGGGATGCTGGAAGAAATACAAACTAGCCAAATCAGTGAGTTCTGAGCTCAAATGTAAATGCCTAAAATCAGAAATAAAAGTAGATGTAAGAGACCTTATCTCAATATGTAAGGTGGAGAGTGATTGAGGAAGACATCTGATGTCAACCTCCAGTCTCTACATGCCATGTACAAACACATCATACAAATGCACTAACAACACATGCAGACACACATGTAGAAAAAAGAATTTTTCCAAAGAAAACTGATCCAGATTATGAGAAATAGGGAAATATAGGCCCCTAAACAAACTTGGCATGTTGAAATAACTAATCAACTATTTCAATTCTTGAGATACAGGAAAGGAAAAAGAACCTGGAATGTGTTCTTAGAAAGGCAGAAGGCAAGAGACTTACAGATTTCAGTAAGATGAGAAGAAATTGTCTCAGACTTAGACTTGCATCCAATGCAGTAAAGTGCCCTGCAGGCTGATGTCAGAATATGATTCACTCTCAGAGGTAGAAGGGGTTCCCAATGCTAAATAATTAGAAATTTATTATATATTTCTGTGGTTTTTGTGAGACTATTCTTCTCTGGATTTAATTAGTATCTTTTCTAAATTAATGACAAATAAGTCTCAAAGACAAGTACTCATAAAAATAATCAACAATAAGACATTTTAATCCATGGTAAAATTTTCTCTCTCCTCTGTATCTAATAATTTATAAAATAATCTAGAGTGGGCAAAAATACTAGCACTTTCTGGTTAATGACCTTTTATTTTTATTCTTCCATTTCCATATATCAATATGTAATAAAGTTATTAATTAAGATTAACTTGAGGAGAATTCATTTGAATTATTAGGAAGTCTCAGATACAGAATATTTTTAAATAAATACATTTGAACTTTCATGAACATACAGCACAGCCCAGACGAGCCAACCTGGGATGCTGGTGACAGGCACTCCTCAGGGAATGGTTAAGAATAACTTAGAAACCTTTTAATTAGCATATCTTTGTTCATATGTAAATGTGTACTTTTGGAATGGTTGGAGTTATTTAATACATTCTGCCTACTAAAATGCTCTAAACATTCCTTTTACAACTGATTCAACACATTGTTATTGAAGAGCTCTGGGCTGGGTGGTTAGCAAGCTCTGGGCTGGATACAGCAATGGGCAAAGAGAGACCAGGCTCCCACGTCCACAGACCTGGAAGTTTAGAGATCAAGATGGACATAAATTAAATCATGTGCACACAGACTATAAATGCTAACATTACAACTGCTGTGGGGAATGGTAGGTGAGGGAATTTAACCTAAAGGGTCCAGGAGGAGGTCCCTGGGGAAATAATGGTAAGATAGGACTGCATGGAAAGTTATCTGTTAACCAAGTAAAGAGAGAGGAGAAAGTGAGGACAAGTATTCAAGTGAAAAGATGACCGCCCCCCATGCAAGAGCCATATGGCAGAAGATGGTACTGGGCGCTTAGGAAAGGGAAGAAAAGCCAGGGTGGAGAACTAGTAAGACGAGATGACATCATCATTCAAAGACTGTGCTTTAGCCTAATAAAGAAAAATTGCTAAGCAAAGGCAAAACATTTTTGGTCACCCTGACCTATTGGTCACAGATTTTGTTTTTTAGGAAGTATAATCTAAAATAATAAGTTTTCAGGGCTGGCGAGATGGCTCAGTGGTTAAGAGCACTGGCTGCTCTTGCTGAGGACCTGGGTTTAAATCCCAGCACCCACATGGCAGCTAACAACCATCTGTAACTCCAGTTCCAGTGTATCCAGAGCCCTCTTCTGACATCCATGGACATTGCATGATATGGATGCTTTACATACATGCAGGTAATACAGTCATACACAAAAAGTAAAAATAATAAATAAATTTTAAATAGTAAGTTTTATAAGTTCCACTGACAAATTACTTCAAAATCATATTTACTCCAAACAACTCATTTCCACTAGACTAACATGATACAGTCATGTGAGCAAACAAAAGAAAGCAGGAGAATTCCACTAGGAAAAGGAAATGTGTCTTCTAAACCACCTTGGAGCCTTTCCTTAACCTCTCCTGGAAACTGGAGAAAGAGGAGAGAGGTTTCCCAAGCAGCTTGGAGCCAAGGAAGGTTCCTGAGAACTATGAAAAGAGCAGGCCTTGTTGGTAAGGCGTGGGCCATAGCTGGAGACAGCCCTGCCCTTCCCCAAATGGCACCTGGTCAGGAAGATCTAGTAGTATTCTTCCTGTGAGGTCAGCCCTCAAGTCCTAAAGTTTAAACCAAGCTCTCCAAATAGAACATCTCTTGTGCACATGCATGCAGAGGACAGAGGCTGATGTCAGGTGTCTTCTTCAATTGATTCTCTGACAGGGGCCCTAATTTGTTGAGAATTTACCAATTAGACTAGGCTGGCTGGCCGGTGAGCCCCAGGGATCTGCCTGTCTCTGCCTCTCCAGCACTTGGATTACGAGCTTGCTACCTACTGTACTTGGTTTTCTATGTGCATCCTGGAAATCAAACTAAGCACTTTACCAACTGATCCATCTCCTCTCCCCAAATTGAGCATCTTTAAATACCTAGGCAACCTCTAAGGCCACAATTCTTGATTCCCCGACTCCCAACCCTATCCCCCACCCCCATCAAAACCACTGGCTTAGAGATGACTTTGTGTTTAAGGACAAGGTGTTCTGAAGGTCATATGGGCGGCACTGTGTGATTTCAGGCTGGCCGTGGACGGGCCTTTCGGAGGCTCTCTGACAGATGTATTTCACTATCCTGTGAGTGTGTGCATTGCTGCTGGAATTGGAGTCACCCCCTTTGCCTCGCTTCTGAAGTCTGTGTGGTACAAGTGTTGTGAGTCACAGAGCCTGCCTGGGCTGAGCAAGGTATGAAAAAAAGTCATAAGTTCACCCTTCCATGGAGTAAAAGGTTCAGTGTCCCCTAATATCTGTCATCTGCCTATTCTTGGGGAGGATTTTAATTAACTATGAGGGATAAACTGAAGGATCCTTAACTATACTTATGTTCTTAAAAATCTCCATTCAGTATCACATTTATGAGAAGGGTTATGTCTAATCTTGTTAAAGATGACAAGACATAAATTTTATTGCTTCATTGCTATTACAGGACATGTAATTGCTCATCTCAATAAAATGTGGACAGGCTGCAAATGACTATGTGACCAGGCTGAAGTTAGTCATATCAGCAGGCAAGCTTCCCCTTAGTCTCTTTAGCTCAGTACTGTGGTTGCAAACATTCATGTCCACACCTCCCTTCCTTGGCCATTTCTGGGACCTGGTAGACCTCTCACAATGGTACTGCTGTGCAGCACCAAACCCCACTTTTGTCATTGTGTCTGTTCTCTGACTAGATTTCTTCCTTCCTTTGTCCTTTTCAGCAATATCACCTCATTCTTTGACCCTGTTGAGATCAAAGGAACCTCCTTTCCACCCCTTGCAGGTTTGATAATTGAGTCTGTAAGACACAAGAAACAATAGACAGATTAACAGGAGAAAAGGCATACAAACCATATTGATACGTAAGCTCCTAGAAATCACACAAAGTACAAAAGGCAAAGGGGAACCAGATGGTTGAAGCTTCAATATTCTTTTCTAATATTTTATTTATTATTTTTATTTTATGTGTATGAGTGTATTGCCTGCATGTATGTAAGTGCACCTGTGTCATGCAACATCTGAGTAGGTCAGAAGAAAGCACTCGATCCCCTGGAACTGGAGTTACAGGTGGTTCTTAGCTGCCATGTGAGTGCTGGGACTCGAACCCAGGTCCCTAGAAAGAGCAGCCAGTGCTCTTAACTGCTGAGCCATCTCTCTAGCCCTGAAATATTCTTTTCTTTGGGGGCCATGGCAATTTTAGAGTCAGAGTAAATGAGCTTTAGGGGAGGTGAACAAGTCTGAAGAGCAAACAAAAGCTTGGGGCAAAGCTGCCTGGGCTCTGGCAGTGCGGTCAACTCTAGGTGTTCTTCCTTCAGCTTCACATTCTTGAGGATCCAGCCCCTGGTCAATGGGGGAACTGTACAGAAAAGCCCTTCCTTGCCCTCAGGAAGGAAAGAGGGGAGAGTAGGGAAGATCAGGGAAGCCTTGGTTCTCCTTAGCTCACAGTGCTCAGCATGCTGAAATACCACACTTCAGACTTTCATTCTCTGAGCCCAAACCCTCTTGGGACCAGCATCAGGTACTATAGCAGTGTGTAAAGATAGACATGGTAATACCAAGGATGTCAAGACAGAAGGGACCAGGATACCTGACAAGCTTGGGGTTGAGCCTGTCCAGCCCATGGCTGCTCAATGTGACCCTTTGGCTGCAATTTCCTTTGATTAAAGGAAAACATTGCACTCAATAAAAGCATCCCAGTGTGTGTTACTTTTTCCTATGCTTGTGGCCAGACCCTTGATAAGAAACAGGGAAGGAAGGACGTATTTGGGCTCAGGATTTGAGGGCAGGGGAGGAAGGCACTGTGTGGCAGTGGTAGCCTGTGGGACCTATTTGCTCACGTCTCAACAGACCAGGAAACAGAGACAGAACAGAAAGTAGGACCTGGCTATAAACCTGAAGACCCTTCCCACCCTAAATCCACTTCCTCTAGCTACACACCACTTCCCAAAGATTCCACAACTTCCTTAAGCCAACTGGGAACCAGGTGTTCAAACACATGAGCCTGTGGGGAACACTTCACATCCAGATTGTAACACCATGTGTTCTATGGAACATTAGTTGTCTGGCATGATCTCCTAAAGAAACCATATAGTGACACAAAACCGAAGAAATTTCCCTGCAACATTCCATCCTAGAAGACTCACCTGATCTACAATCTTCTCAAATAGGCTCTGCAGAACACACACTCAGGGAGACTTGTTCCACCCACTCTTCCTCTGTAGCCATGGAACCTTCCTTCCCCAGCTACCTACTCAGGAATAATGTTCTACGAAGCACTGAGGACAGTGTGACTCAAAGACTCAAAAGTTGGAATTTTCCCCACTGAGAACCGAGAGTAAAATCAGATGTTTCGTGAGGTCACAAGTGGCAGGTGCTTGACATACATTTTAAATTTGACCTCATAAATAATCCAAGTTATTATTCCTGGCTAAGGATCTCGAAGTTTAGAAAGAGTAAGGTGATCTTCCTGAAAATGCACAGGTAACCAAAGGTGGAAACCGGATTCTAATCCAGATCCATCTAGTTCTGTGACACAGTCAATATATAGTAGACTTGCCACTCACATGGCCCTGTAGCCCAAATGCAGTACTGTAGGAACAAGGGGGGGACCAGGAGGGGGACCGTGAATCCTCTCTGTCTCTCTCTGTCTCTGTCTCTCTCTCTCTGTGGGTATGGGCTCAGGTGTATGTGGAACACAGCATGTATAGCAGGTCAGAGGACAGCCTCCGCTATAGATATAGATCCTCAGGCATCTTCACATTTTGTTTGAGACACTGCCTCTCACTGGCAGGCTAGCTGGCCTCTGACCTTCCAGGATCTGCCTGTCTTCAGCCTCCATGTCACCACACTAGGATTATAAGGGCATGCTACCCCACCTGTTTTTCCATGGGTTCTGAGAATCCAAACTCGAATCTTCACACTCTAAAGCACTCTACTGACTATACCATCTCCCCGACTCCACTGTGAGATTTCTTACCAGAGAATCTGCACCTAATTCTACTCTCCCCAGAGACTCTGTCTGATTCAGCTTTCACTGAAGTACCCACTGCCTACAATGGTTCAGTTCAACTCTCTGGACTGGTTTTCCTATTCCACACACTGAAGAAATAAGAACTTGTATCTACAGTGGTTTGAGGAAGCAATGTTCCCCACAGGCTCAGCTATTTGGTGGCACTGTTTGGGGAGATGAAAGAACCTATAGGAAACAAAGGCCTGCTGGAGGAAAGACACCACTTGGAGCTGGCTTTGAGAGTCTATAATCTCACCACACTTCCAGTTCACTTTCTCTGCATCCCGTGAGCAGGTGGAAATGTGATCAAACAGTTCTGAGCTCCGGGCACCTGCTACCATGCCTGCCCCGCCATTACGGACTCTCCCTCTTGAACCATCTTAAACTCGTCCTTCTATTAAGTTGCTTTTGGTCATGGTTGATAGAAAAGTAACTAATATGATATCCAACAGGGAGTTTTAATAACAAGACAAATAATGTGAAAATACAGAATTACTGTGTAAATGTGTATAAAATGATATAAATATTAATTATCTCTGCCACAGATATAAGCTGATTAGTACCGATGTGCTGGATAGCTTTAGTTGTCAACCTGACACATCTGGGTTGTCAGAACCTCAACTGGGGAACTGCCTCCATTGGACTGGCCTGTGGACACATCTGTGGGGCATTTTCTTAACTATTGAGTGATGTGGGAGGGCCCAGCACACTGTGGGTGGTGCCACCCTGGGGCAGGGGGTTCTGTATCATATAAGCAAGCAGCCTATGCATGGGCCAGGAAAGCAAGTCAGTGAGCAGCATTTCTCCACGGCCTGTGCTTCAGCTCCTGCCTCTAGGTTCCTGACCTGAGTTCCTACCTTGGGCTTCCTCATGGTGAACTGTGACTCAGGAGATGTAAGATAAAATAAAACCTTTCCTATCCAAGTTGATATTGGTCAGTGTTTTGCCACAGTAATTGAAGGCAAACCAGAACACTGACCATTATGTCAGGTATGATGGCATGGGGCTTTAATCCCAGCCCTCAGGAGGATCTCTATGAGACCAAGGCCAGCCTGGTCTACATAGTGACTTCCAGACAGGCTAGGACTGGGGAGACCCTGTCAAAACAAAACAAAATGAAGAAAAACCAGTACCAGCCTAGATTTATCAAGAATGTTCTACCAAGTAGGTGCAGAGCCAGGCATTTTGCATGTAGTATGTTACACAATCTTTTTTTTTTTTGAGACAGGGTCTCCCTATAGCCCCAGCTGGCCTGGAATTCACTTTGTAGACCAGGGTGGCCTTGAACTCACAGAGATCTGCCTGCCTCTGCCTCCCAAGTGCTGGGATTCTTTTTAAGGTACTTTTTAAATTTTCATTGAATTTTTGTGTATTTCATACAGAACATCTCAATCAGTCTTCATCATCTTTATACCCCCTTCCCCACTGGCACCCTCCCATAATTGATTTTTTGTGTGTGTATTTCATACAGAACATCTTAATCATCTTTATACCCCCTTCCCCACTGGCACCCTCCCATAGCCCTCCCCACTGGAATGCCTATATTCTGCCATTTGTGTTAAGACCTATCATGTCAAGTTAGTGTCCCCAGATGTTCCTCAGTGCAAGTTCATCTACTGAGATCTAGCCAGCCCTATCTAGAGTCCCTCGCTTTAGGAAGATCAGCTCTTCCTCACCCAGCAGTAATCAGTTGCCAATATTTCTTCAGCTAAGATTGGGATCAATTGTCCATTTCCCCAGTTCTCTGCTGGGTTCTTGTCTACCTGAGTTTGCATAGGATTTATGTATACTGACACCATTACTGTAGGTTCATACGAGCAAGGTCTCGGGAGCCTGCAGGATGCTCTTTCCATATGGTCCTGCACCTCCTCCCTGGCTCTTAAATCTTTTTGTCCCTCTCTTCCACAATGGTCCCTGAGCCCTGGGTGAGTGAAGTTTAATACAGGAGTCCTGTCCAAGGACCGGTATTCTGCAAGTTCTTAATCTCTACACTTTGGCCATTTGTGACCTTTTATGTTCCTGGCCCTCTATCATATGAGGGAGTTTCACTAGTGAGAATTGAGATTTTCATTAATGGGACTTGAGTTATTCATTAGTGTCCTCTTTACCCCTTGTTCTATGCTCCGTGAACTTTAGTTGTAGAGGTTACATGGTAGATGTGCCACTTAGGCTTGGGCAATTCACAGACAATGTCTGTATG